TGGTATCTTCATACAACTGAACCATCCCATCCATGACTATGGAATATCCCTCTAGTGAGGCTGCCCTTTTTAGAAAATCTTAAAGCTTCATTTTCCATATAAGGGTCTCTTAACCCTTCCATTAAATTTACTCCTAGATATTAAACATGTTTACTGCCATTTCAAGTCGTATTTTAAGAATAGTTTTACATAGCACACAAAAGATAAATCGGAGACCCTTAGCAGGAGAGGGATGGGGATTAAAATGGGTGCGAAGAACACAAGAGACTATGGTAATGACTCCCAGGTGACTTGGTATTGGGAATTTTGTGGGGACTACACCTGAGAGGAACAATGATTTAAAAATAAATACATATATAAATGCAAAAATATAAAAGATCAGAAAAAAATAATAGTTTTATAGTTATTTGTGACTGAATGACTTTCTATATTAGCTTTTATCCAGTAAACTTGTGGACCCCTCTCATTAATTGTATCAGTGGTCTACACATTTTTTTGGGATATTTATGTACATAATCAATGTCTATATCATCATGCTATCCTAATAATATTGTGTGGACAGTATTATTTCTTCCTTTTCTACTGTTTATAAATTATTTTATTTTGCTTTATTACATGGTCTAGATATTCTAGATAAGTGATGCATGAAAGTTATAATAATAAAGACAGCATGCAGGATACAGATGGAAAAAACAATGAGATTAGGAGACATGTATTATAGTAAGAGAATGTCTAATGTTAAACTAATGGAAATTTCAGTAAAAGAGAATAGAAAGGTCAGGAGGAAAAAATATCAATCTTCAGCAAAATAAAAAATGGAATTAATATCTAGAAAAGTTATACTGAAACTCAGCTCATCATAATCCTACATTCAAAATTAGTGAGAGAAAAATGTTGAATTATTTTTAAAAATTCACTAGCAGTTGCATTTCAGTTACAACTGTAAGTTAAAAAGCAATGGAATCTTACAGCAGGGATCAAAGAACTCACACAGATCATTAAGAGAATGAGACCTGTGTATATAAAAAAGAGCTAAACTTCACTATGGATCAGAAAAATGTGAATTAAAACTATATTTAGTTATTGACACATCAACTGGAACAGCTAATACTAAATTAGCAAAAAATAACTAGTATTCCTGACAGTTCATAGTGTCTAGAACTCCAACATACCACTTTTGGGGAATCCAAATAAGTATGACCACTGTGCCCTTCTTTCTGCTTTCTGTAAAGATCTTTCTGTAAGTGCCCCTTCTTGATGGACGTTTAATTTCTCATAAAATTTTATTTTGTTATGATTTCCCATTTGTAGGAAAGAATACAAAGAACTTCTAAATATGCTATCCCTAAATTTGTTAATTAACATGTCTCTGAATCGCTCTTCCAGTCCCACCAACTTTTCCTGCTGTACATGACAGGGGACTTTCTCTGCACCATTTAAGAATGAGGTAAAGATACCCCAATCCTTTATCAGTTCTTGAATGTCACTTCAAAGGAAAAGAAGCACAATATCGTTAGCCAAATAAGAAAATTGAAGATTGACACTAGAACTATTAAGTAATCTATTGGTCATACTCAAAATCTGCTCCCCTTCCTGTAATTTCTTCTGCATTTTGTTTTTTCCTCTTCATCGGGGGCTAATCCAGATAGGTGAACTTTGACTTTTTTTTTTTTTAAATCATTTCTGATTGAGGTAACATTTGTTTACAACACCAAGTGTGATGTTGGGTTGTCAGTTCACTCCTCTGTAGCTGTAGAACATTGACACTTTGGTAGAGGATAGGATAGGATAGATTTTTTTTTTAATTTTATATATTTTTACATCATTTTTCATTTTTGCACAATGTATGCATTTTCATCTTGGTTATAGTCCCCGTACAATTCCAACCCTCTTGTTTTGATCCTACTCCCTTCTCCTCGCCCCTGTAGTATGTCTCTGGTTTATAGTTGCTTGTCAGTTTTGATTTTTACTTTATTATAATTAGTCTATTTCCTGGTCCCTTATTTGGGTTTTCAGAATTCCTGCTGCGAGTGAGACCATCCAGTATTTTTTCTTTTTTTCTTTCTGGCTTATTTCATGGAACATGATCCCTTCCAGCTCCAGATTTGGTCTTTTTGGGATCAGCATTTTGTTTTGTTTTGTTTTGGTATGGCAGAACAAGTATTTGCTTTATTTTTTCTTTAAATTTCTTAATTGAGGTACCATTAGGAACCCCCTTCTCAGATATTGCTACCCTATACCACCCACCTCCGAAAACCCATAGTCCACCACCTCTACATCTAGGCTTGAGAGGAATTCTCCCACGCTGTTTTCTAAAACTCAAGTAGTTTCGATTTCACATCGAGCAGTTTGATCCAGTTGAACTCTAATCTTTTATAAGGGCCTGACTATCTTTTTAGTAGTATTTATCCAGTTAGCTCAGGTCATTAATTCAGAAGTGTGTCTTTGCTGCAGTTACTTGAAATTTCCCCCCTTATCATGTAATGAATTTCCATATGTACTTCGTTATATTTCTGGACTTGCTATTCTGAATATTTCACAGTTGCTTCTTTCTACTATTGTGGCAGTGCCATTTATTTTAATTATAGAGGTTTTATAATATTTTCAATTTTCTTGACAGAAAGATCATTACTGATAGCCTTTTCAAATACAAGCTTTTTATTAAATTTATTTGGTTAAGAATAAATTGAAAAATAATATGGTGGTTGCTCTTGCTGCCCACCGCAGCCGCTCTAAGATCGCTAAGCCCTTTGTTACCAGGGCTCTGTTCACAGACTCACCCTCCGTGTGTGCAGTGCACTTGCAAGGCCTGCAAGGTTAGTTGTTAAAGAAGCAAAGTGAAGAAGACCTTACCACCTCATTTAAGGAGGTGTGTATTTCCTTCTTGTACACATTTTCTTTCTACAGACTTAAAAATTACAGTGTTGGGCCTCCCTTGGTGGCACAGCAGTTGAGCACTGGGCTGCGAAGCTGCCCACAGCCTCTCCAGTGCCAGTTCAATCCCTGGCCACAGGCGAGGGTCCCACATGGCGCGCAGACCTCTCCTGCTACGCCCACTGCTCCCCTCAGCAGTGTATTTCGTCAGTCTGCCTGTTCTGTTCCCCACTCTGGCTCTGGTGAATCCTCTCACCCTCCCGTGCTTCTGACTGTAGCCAGTGCTTGTATAAATAAATAAATAAATCTTTTAAAAAAATTGCAGTGTTGGCTCTTTGTTTTAATTCATATTCACCCCCACCCCCAGATTTAACCAACAGGAAGGCTATTTGGGACTTAGATGTGCAAAGTCCAAAGAAATATGAATGTTCAACCTAACAATTCCATTGACGAGCAGTAAAACCAATGAAAGTTGGACTACGCGAGCTGTGGGAATGATGGTTTCCTGTGGGTCAGCGTGACACGCAATCACACTGTGAACAGAGGATGGGAAGACATGGGCGAGCCCTCCTGCAGCCCCCAGAGGCTGGTGGGCGGCACTGTAACAATTCTGGCCTTTTGGATGGAATAATGTCCATCGAGAATGTGAGGGGCAGGAGGTGTCAGATTTTTGCCGTAGATCTTGGCAAGTGTCGTCTTACCAAGCAATTTTGATTTTTCTTTTACTGTGAAGATAGTTTGGTTGTCTTTACTTCAGGATCTCTTTGGGCCTCACGCGCCATCTGAGAGGCCTGGCACCCTCGGCCTCTCCCAGCACGTAAGGCGCTGGCCTGAGGCAGACTCAGCACGACTCACTGGCTGGCCAGGCTTTGTCAGGGGAACAGGTGCCCTCACCCTCTAGGTGGCCACAGCGAGTTGCGTCTGTCACTGCCTTGATTCCCTTATAACTTGTTTTATCCAGGGGAGGAGAGTCCAGAGACGTTAACTCTGCAGATGGGCCACAGGGAATGGGCAGAGGGCTTTCCTAGCAGGGAAGGAGGGGCGATTTACCAGCCAATGGAGGACTGGGGAGAAAGTGTCCCTCTGTTGGGGTTTCTGCCTGGGCAGCCTGCTGGCAGCGGCACACTTGGACATTCTGTGGGGTCCAAACTCCAGTTGAGCGAGCTCCCCGCAGCAGCCCTGCCACGGCAGGAAGAACAGCTTGTCTGTGAGCTGCCTGTCATTGTGGCCCAGAGCTGCGGGGCAGAGTTAAAACCCAGCACTAGAGAGAAGGCCACCATCTGAGGGAAAAAATTCAAAGTATTTCTAAAAATAGAGATGGGAAATACCTGGGATGGCCTCATTTATCATTCCTATTCAGGGTTCACGGGCTCCTCTGTTAGACACAAGTGCTATTCTGCAGACTCGACCGGCCTTTTTTCCCCATTTGGCCTCAGAAACTGAAAAAGGGTCTGTCCATCAGGACGGCGAGCCCACCATGTTCCGCACGACCTGCCCCTTCGTCCAAGGGTCCCAGCCCCACAGCATCTACGAAATGTATTTGTCAACCAGCTTGATCTTTTTTCTTAGTGTGCGGAGTTGACAGTTCAGTGCAAACACAAAGTGCATCCGCGTGCTCCCCGGGCCAGGAGGGGGATGCTCAGGCCCGGCAGCTGCGCAGGCGGACCTGGGGATGCAGGGGACCCCTGTGGGCCCACCCGGGGGGCCTGCCAGCACTTCCACAGTCCACATCGTCCTGCACACAGGGCGGGAGCACCTCTGCATCGCCCTCCGGTCCTGTTTATGAAGAGACTGTGTGGGTGGCAAGAGGAAGAAAGAGATGTTGGAGTCATGAGTTACTGATACTCTAGATCACCGCAAACAAATGGGGGGGGATAGAATTTGGATATGAATAACCTGAACCTGAGTTTAGTCATGAACTTTAAGAGCTGTGAGGCAGATGAGATGGGTGTGGAGAGGTGTGAGGAGGAAGGCAGGTCAGGAGGGAGACTTGTGATCTCTACCTCCTCCTGGGGGCAGAGCCACTGTCATCTGCCATCATTGCGCGCAGTAGGTGTCCGGCTTTGCAGAGCCCCGCTGATGTCTGACTTTCTTTTTTATTTTATAGATGACAAAAAAGAGACTGAGAGGGAGTCACATAGAAGGCTGAGGAGAGGCTGTTCAAGTGCATGGGGCGAGCAAGCAGTGGGACCGCTTTCTCAGAGCACCCAGGTCTGCCTCTCACCCACGCGCTGCTTCTGTTCTGTCCTCCTGCTTCCCCAGGTGGAGCCGAGTGGAAACCTAGGAGGGCTGTGGGGTTTTAGCTCTTCCCTCAGAGTTCATATTCACCGCTGCCTCTTCTCACACTTCCCATAACTGTTTTGGACCATGGTTATTTGACTATCACAGATGATTTGATGAAGAATCTCTCAGAAAATAACCCAAGGAGAAGAAATTAGGAAGAAAACATATGATATTTTCTAGATTCTATTATGCATTGGGTTGATCTTCATTTCTTTAAGAGCATGGAAGGTTCTTTCCAGCAACTCACCTGCCTTGCTCTATATAAGGGAAATTATGAGACTTATCAAGGGAGGTAGTGTCATTGCAATTGCAACTAACCCACGGTTAGCAAATGCCTGGTGCTGGCTGTAGAGGCGGGAACTGTGGCCAGCTAAGGGGTAACAGCAACCTTTCTTATTGTTACAAGTTTTGAAAAACAAAGAGCAAATTACAGCAAGGCACGTATCAGCACCAAAGGGCCGCTGTCCCAGGAGCTGCAGGGGAGTCAATGTTGGGAGTCCCCTGGGGACATGGGGTGTCGGGTGATGAAGGGTTCATCGGCAAAGCACCGACCACCAGGCCCACATGACGCACGGCTGCTCTCCTCCTCTTTCAAACTGTGGTCATTTGGTGTTTTTTTAAAGCACAGAAACAACAGATGATGTCCTTCTGTTGGAAATACGGTCTTCATATGCGGTTTACAGCAGAGCAGAAAACGCAAGGTCCACTCGGAGGCTGAAAGAACAACAGTCCTTTTGAGCTGCAGTTAATCAGAGAGAAGAAAAAGAACGCGAGGTAATGCAACCTCTCGTCAACAAGAGGCGCAGTCCATTGTTCTTTCTCTGGTCTTCTGGTACTCTGGCGGGGGGGGGTACTACCTGATCTGTCAGATGGTAATTAATGCTCTGCTACTCAGCCTTGCAGTGGCACACAGAGGAACAAATGCAGGAATAAACTTCCTCGATTGCAACAGATCATTCCTCTTTTCAAAACTGCTCCGACACCCAATGTTGACACCCAATAATTAATAGATTTGTCTGTAACCCGGAATAAATAAAGGAAGATGTTAATTTTATCCATAAAGAGAAATCTTGATGCAGTGTTTTCAAGTTTATTTAACCTGAGAGTATGATTCTATCCATCAGTGGTGCTTTAATAGTTTTCCTGTCACTTATTATTAAGAACTTCCCTGAACCTAAGCTGACATAAAATATGATGTATGTGTGAGGTTTTCCCCCCAGCCACTTTGGATAGGTAATAATTGGTAAGCAGCCTTCATGCCATATAAAGAAATCTTGCTGATGTGTCCTCGATCTGAAAAGGATAGATTTGATTTCCTGCAGGTGCTGTGCACAGCATCAATAGTCATGATACCATTAATCATTTAAGTATGCAAGGTGCTGACATCTAGTCCTGTGTCCGGGGAGAAAAGTGCTTGGTAGACCAGCCAGTTGCAACGTGGTAAGACAGACACCAGCGGTTATGGTGTAAAATATAAAGAAGGCAGGCAAAAGCAAATTTCTCTGAAAATGAGAGCTCTCGAGGGTTAGACCAGTGCGGGCAGGTTGGGTCCTGAGCTATCCAGATGAAGTCTTACCCTTGTCAAGCGTGCCCCTGCCCCCCAGGGCGGACCAACTCTTCTGAGCCTCTGGAACCCACTTCTGTGTGAGCAAAGCCTGCTGCTGCACCCCAAAGATGTTTCTCTGAGCCCAGTGGATTCTTGTGGTGAATTTGGAAAGAGGCGTGTCTGCAACCTAACTACTTGTTCCTTTTCTAGAAACCAGCCGTTACCCAACTGCAAACGAGAGGGACACACCTTGTGAGTTGCACTGGGTGCCGTCGACTTCCTGCCCCCCGTCTGTGAGCACGGACCCCGCACTGTCTCTAGGTGGAGGGTGACATGCTGTGCGTGAGGCGCGTGCATGACCGTTTGCTCAGGGAGTCGGTGAGTCAGTGTTCATAATAGAAACGAGGCTTCGTGACCCTTCATGGTGAATGAATAAATGGGAAGATATCCCAGAACTAGTTTAGAGCTAAAATTGGGCAGTATCAGTTCACAATGCTGCTACTTTCTTGCTGCAGAGTTGCTCGTAAACTGGTAATAATTTTTTTTGACAACATCTGTGCTCCTTGTTTAAATATATATTTACATATACAGAAATATATTCATTAATATATTAAATATGTAACTATATTTATAGGTAAATATATATTTATACATGTAAGAACAGAGAGAGAGATATATGTTTTGATCTCGTTGGCTCATTTCCCACATAATTTGGAAAGAATTAAACTAGAGATGAGACTCTAGCCCTAAGAAGAGTAAGCTGGGTTGGGTAAAGTGATCGTGTATATAATATCTCCTGAGAGAAATGTGAATGGATTAACTGGCATTTTACCTTAAAAATAATGGGAGACACGAACCTTTAAAAATGTCAAATGAGTGAACCAATATGTGCAGAAATTAACTTTTTTATTATATATCATATAATGTAGTAGTAAAGTTTGTTTGAAGTGCATGAATAAAAAGTTAGTGAAATTACAGGAGGAACAATCTATAGAGCAGTAATAGGTGCATTCCCTGTGCATCTGAAAGAAAAAAAAAAGAGTTTTCACTCATTTTGGCCTAAAACTTAGTGTTCAGGTCTCCAGGATTCTGACATCAGAATCCGGATAACGCTGATTAGAACCATAGGGGCTTTACAATAAAAGCTAAAATATTGACCATATGATGGCAAAAAGTCTTATTTTGTGATTAACTGAATCTCTCCTAGCTGCTCTCTGAGGAAGTCGGTGGCGCCGTGGAGGAGGACCGCCGCCTCCGGGACGAGGACCGCGAGCGCTCGGCGCCGTAGGGGCCCTGCTCGCCGTAGCTGTCCATCTGGGCCTCGATGAAGTCCCTCTGCTGCTGCCTGATGGTCTGGCCGATGAGCCCGGGCAGGGCGTGGATGCTCCCGATCAGAGTCTCTAGTTTCGTTTCCAAGGTAACAATCCTTTTCTCGAAGTCTTCACTCCTTTCGTTTAAGTCGGATATCATGTCGTACATGATGTTCTGGGTCTGGAAAACGGGAGGGGGAGAGAGAGACACAGAGAGAGAGAGAAAAGGCCATGGCTCAGTGACACTTGCCCGGAAGCAGACGGTCAGCCCCCAGAGCTGGCGGCTGGCCACCTGTGGTGACACACACACAGCACCAGGGCATCAGGTACCTGGACACTTAACACCTTCAGAGCAAATGTCCTGTCTCTGTCCAGCGCCAGGATTTAGGAATGTAAGGTCTCGGGCACCATGTGCCCGGCTGCAGGAAGCGTTGCACAGGCAGAGGTGGTAGGTGGTGTAGACACACACATTTTGTTTCAAAATGTTTAGGTTTCAGGGGTTGTTACAATAGCTGGTACATCAAAATCATTTTGCAACTTGTTAATTTAACTGTGACCAGACTTAAATTTTAAAACAAGCATTTTTAATGAATAATAAATAATAGTGCAGATGGTACTGGGGTTGAGAAGAAGTTTTGAAGATAGACTGTGAATGCCCTGTGTATAGTGATTTGACCAAGTCATCTAGTTAACTTCTAAATATGCTTTGACTTTCTAGGGTCCACATTATAGGCTCTCTATCCTGCTAAATGGCAGTGTTACAGAGAACCACAGACAGAAGAGTAGTGCAGGGGACGCCACTAGCCCTCCCGGTGGGTCTTGGCATCATCAGCGCTAAGTGGTTTGAAATAGAAGGGATGTTTCTGGTGCCCTAGCAAATCTCACAACAGATTGTGTTCATCAGAGTCTCATACTTCTTGACTGTCAATTACCATTCTTGAAGTTTTCAAGAGATTGAGAGAAGAGGGTGGTTCAGAAGGCTTTAAAGCCTGTCCTCTTCAGCCTGTTTCCCTTTATAATAAGACCTCGCACCCAGCTTAGCAGCTTCTTTATGATAAACTGACTATGGACGTTGCTATTTAGAGCACAGGCAGCCCATTTTAATTTGGCCACAAAGACAGTATATTCACCGCATTTTTACTATGTAGTCTTGAGACTATGCTGGAAGCATCCATGCATTTAGAAAATAATGAAAATATTCCCTCTGGGTGGAGGGAATATCCCGGGTCACCACAAGAAACATGGCGGGAAAGAAATCATTTGAAAGAAACAGCATCTTACATTGTAGATATACTCAAAGGCGAATTATTATCATTCTGTACTGTGTATGTAGATACTAAATATTTATATATATATATATATATATTTTCATATATTTCTAAGAATACCCAATGTCTTTCATTATTTGACGGAGGCATGATGCAAGGGCCTGCCCCATCTCTGGTGGTGATGGGGTCTGTGAGGAGCCGCGTGTGTGGTTATAAAGAGGGGCGTCTTCACGACCCACTCTGCGCGGCTCAGCTGGCATGCAGGATGCAGGCTGTCCCAGGGCCAGGTGTTAAACACTGATCTGCTACTTTGAAGAAATGAGATATTGATCCTCAAGACACCCCTACAGTAGGCTTTCAACTGCCGATCTTGTCTGGGAACGAGGCTTCCATGGCAGGACCTGATAACTTAGCAAGTTACCCTGACTCAGAAAACACGGGACTCCTCACCCCTTGAAGTTTCTTGTTTTAAACCTGGCCCTGGCCGGTTATCCTTGTCCCCAGCCCCTCCCATGGCTCCAGCGCATCTTGGAGCTCTGCCTCTGACGTTGTGCGCCTTTCCTTAAGATGATTCTGAGTCATCAGTGTGGTCAGGAAATCCTGTCATGCTGTGTGAGGCCTTTTTGTGTTTGTTTGGGTATTTGCCTGTGACACCAACACTGCAAACAGGAACAAAGCACGGGGATCCTGCTGGTGCAAAGGCGGACAAATCTGCACTTTCTGCAGGGCCCACTGCCAAGAGCTAGGTGCTTGACGGGGACATGATGTTCTTTTTCTAAAACCTCCTTTAGGGGTTGTCCCCAGGGTCAGAAGAAAATTCAGGGGGGCATCAGCCTGGAAAGCCAGCACCATCTGGTTTCTCATGCTGATGCAAAGCAGCAGGAGGGGGTGCTGGCGAAGCACAGGCATCGCCCCTCTCCCTCCATGGCTGGCACATCTGGGACACCCCAAGTGACCCCTAAATAGGGGCAACAGAGATGGCTCAGAGAAGCAGCAGGGCTGGAGTGGTAACTGACCAACCCCTCCCCAAATTCTCTTTCCTGATGCAGGCAAGGCTCATGTCCTGTTTCAGGTGGCACAGACATGTAGCCAGTGAGATCTCTGAAAGTACATAATCACCTGGCATACTGAGTGTTGTGCCCCCCAACCTGACCACCTGACCTTGCTCTGTTCTTGTCTAGGGAACACGCTGGAGAAGGTTGCAAGGAGTTTGTAGAAGCTATTCTAGAACTCTGGAGAGAGAATGGGCCCTTGGAAGTAGCTGGAAGTGAGGTGGGGAGCACTGAGCTGATTTGGGTGTGGCCCGTGCAGCCCTGGGGAATTTGTTTTATGAGACAGCTTAGAATTCGGAGGCCCATGGCCCACGCAGGCCATGTTTGAGGTGGGGGTGGAGGTAAGTCTGTTAAATTGTCATGGGGGAACTTAAGAGTTGTGAAATTTTTTTTTTATTACTTTAAATAGATTCTAAATGTTTGATGTGTAGAGCTCAAATGTGACGGCATTAAAGAAACCAAATTTGGCAAGTTTCAGACTTGAGAATTAAAGATAGTGAGTTTTCCGTAGTACTGCCAGTGAGAGATGCAAATGAATCATTTCTTTTAGCCATGTATGTTACTGCTGGTAAAAAAATAAACACATTTATCATTTGCAAATTACACCTTTTTGGATACGAGGGAGGAAGAAATCAGTGACTTTCCATCCTCCTCAGGAATCCCGGACTTCTAAAAAAATTTTTTCTTTTATTTCTTTTACATCATTGTGTAGTCCCCATGAAATTCCCACCAGCAGGTCACTGGTGAACCATCACCACAGTCCCTTGTGCTCCTCTCTCCCTGTTTTGATCCCTTTTGCTCCCCTTCCTCGCAGAATGTATGTGATTTGTGGTTGCCTGCCAGTATTTTTTTTTTTTTAATTATTTTTTTTCCTGATCCCTTCTTGGGTTCCCCTATATTCCTTCTGTAAGTGAAACCATTCGATATTTTTCTTTTTCCTCTGGCTTATTTCACGGAGCATGATCCCTTCCAGCTCCATCCATGTTGCTGCGAATGCATGAGTTTATCTTTTGTGATTGCTGAAATGCAGCATCCTGTCACAGCTCCCTCCCCGCCCTCCTGCTGCTCAGCGCACCCCAGTCCAGCTATCACAGGGGCTACATCAGAGTTTGGCCAGTATCTTCTGTTCCCAGAAAACTTGATGTCTTCTATGCTATTTGAGAATTGATGACACCTACAAGTTCATTAATTTGCTTTGAAATTTCAAAGCCTAACATTGTATGGGGAGTTTGGTGGCAACCATGGATTCGAAGTCAGCTAGAGTATCTGACAGGGAGAGGCTGGAAACTTGCAGGTCATCATACTCCTTAAGATTAGAGTGATGAGGTTCTCTTACACACACCCCATTCTCAAAGATGCCACGTGTTTGCAAAGATTTTATTCTAGTCACTACCTGCTACTTATTTTTCAGCATTACTTTTCTTCTCAAATTTTATTGAGAGGACGTGCAGTAAAAGGATCACTCATCTGCTGTGGGTGGACATGTGCAGCCTCCATGGAACTCAGTATGGAGACGCCTAAAAATTTTTTGAGAATTATCTGCTAAAAATGCACTGTCCTGATGGTTGACAGCAGTCCTGTTTTGTAAACTGGGTTCACTTGGGATAAATGTTATAAACTTGACAGCAGAATCTGAAGAGTCACAAGTTATAAAAAGTGATTACTTCTTTTGAAAGACAACTCTCATGTTAAGATAGAACTTCTGGTATCTTGTAATTGGAACTTGACAGTCTTCTGAGTTTGTTTGAAACGTGTAAAAGTAATTTCACTAATTGGTCCCTATTTAGGATTCACTGCAACCGCCTAGTCACACCAGGATGTAGTGCTGCTCTCACGGAGATGAAACTCTACTACAAGAGGATTAGCAAAGGTATCGTCCCACATTCTACTTCTGTTTCTAATGGTCCTTCCAAATTATGTCAAGGAAGACAGCTTTATGAATAGGCGGTAGCTAATGTATGTAAGGGAATAAGAGCTTTAGACAGATTCTTTTACTGTGTTTGTTGCTTTGGTTTGTGAATGACATCAGACTGGGCTCTCCTGCAGCGTCACTCATTTCCATGCAGCGGTTCAGTCCGACAGACAGTCGGGGGCTGAGCTGCCCGAGCTTACCTTTGCCAGATCCACCAAGGTATTTGCTTGGTCATTCAGTTTCCTCTGCTCCATTTTTACACTTCTTAATCTAAAAGACAGAATCTGAAGTGAGAAAGGTTCCTTGCTTCCTCTGGCTCTCAAACGCCTTCCAAAGAGCATGCACAAAATTGACAAGAGCAAGTAACTGCATGGATAATGCCTTGAACACTTGGGGTAAAGTCCAAACTGGTTATGTGTCTGGTACAATGAGAAGCATGCTTCCCCAACACCGCAAAAAGGAAAGGAGAGAGAGTCAGAGATGAGATGTCCTTAGGACAACAATGTACCAGGTAGTTAAAGTTCAATTGAGAAAGGCTCATAAGGTTGTAACCGTATGAGAAAAGCCAAAACATTCCTTCAAGCCCCAGTATCGTGACAAATAGACATAGGAAGAAGTATGCAAAGCAACTGGAATTTCCACAATGTTGGAGCAGCGAGCACCTTCCTATGCCTACGTGACTAGATACAGGTATTAGCCCTGTTTAGTCTGAGATGGGTTGGGTTAGGTATTTGCACCTGATGAAACACAGTGATAAGTGAGATTCTTAGTAGCAAAAAGAAAACTTTTATTCAACCAGCAGCAAGATAACTCAAAACATAATTCTCTTATTCTTCATTGTCTTTCATCTCAAACTGCCATCGACTCTGGAGGGGAGTCAGACCATTGCCTTGGGAGAGCTGCCCTCGATTTTTATTGTAGATAAAAGTCAGAGAACAATTAAAGTGTCTGACAGATGGGATCTCCACTTGCAAAGTTACTTTTAGATTCTTTGAAATCTCACTGCACGGATAGGATTGCTAGTCGAAGGTTACTGTTCAAAAGAAATTGCTTTCTGCATAAGATCTCTTACTATTCCTTATTTACTGGAATATGTCAATGCATATACCAAGAAATTAAAATTTGCCAACAAAAGTTGTTTGTTTTTCCTTAAGCCAGAATTGCAAAGTCTTGCTCAAAAAGAGAACCACGTCTCTCTGAGCTACTTACTGGGGGAAAAAAAATTCACGCTCACCTTATTACCTTGGTGGTGATTCGTTTTATAGAGAATAGTGTTAATGCTGATGAGTGCTTTTTATGATTTCTCAATTTAAATGAAAGGTAATTACACAGAAAGAATAAAAATTCACAGGGCAAGATTTTACTGCCAGGGAGATTTTTATAACAAATGTTCATGATGTTTAGTGATTTTGTTCTCAAACTCGGATATCCAATATGTCACCAAATCTGCTCTGCAGTGACAGTCCCTCCTGCCAGGAAGAGTGTCACTGGCACCTGCCCACACCACAGTCTTTAACAATGTAAACAGCTGAAGGTTAGAATTTGTCACTGCCGTTCCCGCTCTGTGCATGTCTATGAGAAAGCCTAGACTCTTTTGGTGTCATCAGAGAGGTGGAATATGTTCTCGTCTAAAAGATTTTCACATATTTAAATCCAATGTATTGTTGAGAAGCGTTTCTCTAAGTACTGACAAGGATTTAAATTGTTAACGACTGCCTTGTGAAAACAAGCAAAAAAAGGATGGGGCAGTGTATGAGAGAGGACAGGTCAGGCGTGGGCTCCTGTCCTTCCTGGGCCCGATCTGACCTCAGTGTCCCCAGGTACGAAATGGAAAGGGTAGAGCAGGGCAGCCTTTCTGGCCGTGCCCCCCAGAGGTGTGCTGGCCGGCTGGAGGCGAGTCTGCTCAGTGACAGGTGGAGTGTCATGGAGACTCTGAAATTCTCTTGAATCCTCTTCCAATTTTTCATTATTACAAGAAAAGTGTCTCAGGCTGGGTCTCTCCAGCCTGCAAGTCTTAACTTAACCTGCTCTTCTCTGCCTTTTTAAGGAGCGAGCAGGATCGCCGCTCTGAGCTTTTCTGCAGGCCAGAGCCCACGGCTGAAATTCCCTGTGTTGGAATTGTCGCTTGGCCTCTCCTTGGTGGGAGGGATGTATCTTTTTATGTCCTTATGACGGGGATTCATACCGAGCTTTCTTTTCAGTTAAGTAAGCTGGCACACGAGCGACTGATGTTTGGAGACACCAGAGCAGATGCCTCCAGCAATGTGTGAACGCGGAAAAACAGTCCTAACTGCAAGTCTGGTGGGAGGGCCAAGGCTGGTCTCTTAGCCGGGGTGAGTACTTTATTCCCCCCGACGGCAGGGCCGCACTCACTCCTCGGCTCACTCTGTTAGGTGTCTGACAGTAGAATTTTGCCCATTTCATTATCTACTAACCTGGAAAGCTGACAGAGTAGCCCTATTTGATTGACATTCCTTAGCTCCCTGACCTTCACGCCTCTTGCCTGTCCCTCCTGGGACTGCCTGTCTGCAGGGAAGCCGATAGGAACGCTCTACGTAAGCTGCAGCTGCCAGAATAAAAGGTCACATGCAGATGTGTATATACCCCCTACCCCCCCACAAAAAAGAAGAATAAGAAACATATGTTGATTTCTTCCTTGTGAACTTCACTTATCACAGGAAAATATCATGATTTTGGATCACATTTCCATAGCAGCAATCAGACTACTAAAATTCACAAATAAAGGATCCACTTGGGTGCATGCAGCCGGTAGAGAATTCTGCAAATGTTGAACGGAGCGCTTCACACAACTTACTTCCGAGCTCTATTTTCATTTTGTTGAAATAAAAAGACAAAACAAAAGAAAAGAAACTGTAAAATATTCTGGAACAAAGTCACACAGTGTGGAGTTCAGTTGTGCACAGGGGGCTCGATTCATTAGCTGGAAGATCCTGTTACGATTCTGCAGGGTTTGGGCATATTGATCAGAGAGAACAGTTTTCAGTTCTCTCCCTGGCCCTCTGCAAAGCTACTCCGCGCCCCCCCACCTGGAAGCAGACCGCGTCCTCCAGAACCAGAGCTCAGGAGGAAGCGCTGCTGTAAAGCCATCTTGGCCTCTGTGCTGCGTGGAATTCACGGGAGTCACTGGACACGGATCTGCCTGATGCAAACGGTTAAAAGGACGATATGTCAGACAATAGGATTGTAATGTCATTATTATTATTTTTCTTTTTTGCAGGGGAGACATTGTTTTCGATGCAGGGCTGTTTTAGAAGTCTGCTTTCTGCGGGGCTGGTAATCATGCCTGTTACAGCAATGACGTTCATGGGATTTCTTAGCTCAAGTTCATGTTGATGGATGGGCCCAGAGTTGAGATAAAAGAATGATTTCAAGGTCAAGGTGCTACTCGAGAAAGATTTAAAGTTACAGAAACAGAATGCCTCACAGCGATAAGTGACAATCCAGAGAGACAGACAGTTTACCGAAAAGAGGATAGAAGCCAGGAGAACTCGGCACCCATCGGGACCAGAAAGGCCATGTGTTGGGTCGAGAAGCTGTGAAGCTTGAAAAGGAGTAAAGAGTTGAGCGAGAGGGAGGCTGCAAGAAGGGGAGAGAGTGTTACTGGAAAAGCTCTTGGGTGCACTACACCAGAGAACAGGAGAGGCCAGGAGAGCTCTCTAGCAAATGAGTCAGTGAATTTATCAATTTTTCCTCAGCTCACAAGATCGGATTTCCCCCAGTGCTGACAGCAAGGCTGGGAGGCACTGGGTGTGCCAGGTGGGCAGTGAAGGCTTTGCCCTTAGGAATCGAGCCCTATGTGCTTCCCCTTTATGATGCCACTCACCCAGTTACATTGCAAGGTCATAATGCCCCCTTAGGACAACCTCTCCCTGCCCAGCCCACTGACACTCTCTGGGCTTCACAAGTGCCAGTCCCCTCCCCCCTCAGCACCCCCGAGATGAAGTCCCAAAACAATTCAGAACATTTTGGAGTTGCTTGAAGCTCCCCTACTCTAGGAGCACTCAGTGCGACACACAGAACACAGAGAGAAATGCCTGAGAGAAACAGAAAAATCACGCACGGTTCCCACCATCACTGTCCCCCCAAGCAGGCGGTGCTGAAGCGCGTGTCACCGACACGGAGGGGCCTGGCAGAGGCAGCCTGCTGTGCGGCAGCAGTCTGCCCGAGCCTTTGTCTCCCGCACGTTTTACCATACGCTTTCTCAGACTACAGCAAAACCGAGAGACTCTTCAGGTGAACATGACTACACTGCTCCCCAATTTTTACAGTGTTCGTGCATTCTGAACTTGAGCGTTCTAGGACGGCAGACAGAAACACACCCAGCACTTACACAAGGCTACCGAATTCTGTGACAAAAACCAGAAAAGCTTTTTGTCTTTTGTAATTTTTGGTGACATCAAAATGCATCGAAGGCATCCAAGGCACACGCCACTGAACGGGTCACACTGACAGAGACCGGCCTCGCTCACACCTCCCGGCCCTGGACACGGGCGTGCCTTCTCACACACTATAGGTTAGTTTTGAAACATTAAAAGTGCAAAGAATGAGTTCTCTTCAGTGTAGCATGCGGCCCTCTTCCATGAATTTGGGGTTGCAGTGTTGTAAGATTTGGGGGTGTAGGAATGACCCCTCTGCCAGTAGAAGGGTACCAGGTGACCCTTAGCAAACATGTCTTTACTCACTGGACTTCCTACGGAAAGTCAAGGTGCAGGCTCATCACCTCTTGGGGACCCTATTCTCTTAGGTCTATGCTTCAAGGAGTCTCCCTGTCTTGGCAGAGCTTCTAGATGGTGGCACTCGTTACAAAGGTAGATGGGAGCTTCCTCTGGGGAGCCAGACCTACTCGGACTTAAAAAGTATTTATATTCTAGCCTTATCTTTTTTGGGTTGAAAAGCAGAGTTGTGTATACAGTCAAGCCACAGAGGAGGGATGACATGGTCTTGTCATGGGTGGCAGGGGATATGGGCCCAGTGGTGAGGAGCAGGGTGGGCCGCTGTCTGCATGTGTCCCCCTGCACGCTCAGTCCCAGGGCACTTGGGCCTGAAGTTCATTTAGGAGCACCAGTTTCCATAGAAGGGATCCTGCCCGCAGTTGCAACTGCGCTGTGCATTGCCAGTGATCCGTATGTGAAAAGGGCAGGAGGATGGACTGCCGGGGGGGTCGAGAGTATGAGCATTTTGTGTTCCCCCCTGAATGGTGGTGTAACGCTTTAGCGAGGAATTTTACTCAAATGGGTCAAATAGAACCTCAGCCTCCGACTTCCTCGCCTGCTGCATGAGTCAGCCGCCCTCACTGCTTCCTCTGGAGACCTAGTCATTCACCTGCCTTTCGGCTATGTCCCTGGTAGGCTGCACGGAATAGGCCCCTCATCTGACGCACAGCCGTGACCCTGTCTGCTCTTCCCCACAGGGAAGCGGTGGAGAGCAGGGGTGCAGAGATCCTGCCCGGCACCACGAGAACGTACTTACGGTAAGGCCGGCACTGCCTGGGGGAGCAAGACCTAGGGCTTTCAAGTGACGGTGAAACTTAGAGTCATATGTGAGATGTCTGTGAGGGTTACACGGTGTCACGTTGTCATGGCAGAACAAAGAGACAGAACCAAACGAGTAACACACGCTGCAAGTCTGACTCTAGAACTGTGGTAATTGTGGGTGGAGGAGGCCCAAAGGAAAGGTGACATGGTGTGACGGACTTAACTGGAATAATGGTGGTCTGGCTGATGTCAAAATAATGATGAGAGGTTAAGATAGTTGAGATAGGCGCTATCAGCAGAAACACAGCACATAGAAAATTCCAGCATTATGTCAATTGTACTGCCTGCATAGAAAGATGCTTAGCAGCGTGTTAAAGATTTCCAGATATATCATCAAATGCTAATTTTTAAGACTCTGCAGCAGATACAAACTGAACATCTCAGAACGAACTATATGAATAAGTCATTTAAATTAAGAAACGTAATTTTAACTGAAATTATTGCTTCGAGAGAGCAATTGAGAAGCCGTTTTACATAACACAGTAAATGACTATTTGCTTCCAAATCAATGATTTTTAATCACACACACACTTTTTCTCAGGATTTCATGTATGGAGTGCCTACACCGCCAAAGAACGTCTTCTGGGAACCAACAAGACACTGCCTCCATTTTTCTCCCTGATGCAAGAATAGCCCAGCGGAAGCATTCAACCCGAGAGGCACCAAAGCAGGGTAAAGAGGAAAATAGTACTTACTGATGAATAGCTTGCAAGAATTTTCGTTGATGTTTTCTGACTTTTGCATGATCTATCTTTTTTACTAGCTTTGTATTTTTGTAAATTAGCCATGTCTCCCTGAGTACATTGGCAGCTGCGTTTTTCACCTGTGAGGAAAACAAACAAACAAAAGGAAGCAGTTGATAAACTTCAGAGGAGAAATCCCGCGGAGCCTGGCTTGGGATCACTTTCCTCATCTCGGTGAGCTCTAGCTCGAACAGTGTCTCAAACAATGATTTCTCTTGACTCTGTGCCTTTCTGACAGGGTCTGTCTGTCTAGGACCGTCAGTTCAATTGAAGTATGAGGGAACTACTGGTGTCTTTTTGGGCTAATCTCCACCCTATCCCATGAGGAACAGATTTTATCATCTTCTTTGCTCCCCTTGTAGGAGCCGGTGACCCGACTTTTCCCTTGGGTTTGCGGTCAGCTACTTATTCTAATAGGTTGTTCCAGCGAATTCTTTGCAGGGATGGATGAAAGACAGTACACAACAAGGACTGCAGGCTGCTTGGGTGCTGGTTGGGGGAGAAGGAGTTTCGGGGGCAGGCAGTGTGCAGGGGACATGCAGCAGAGGGCTGCTCTTGAAGAGCTGCTTCTACGTCCTGGACCTTAAACTATCAAGTCAGGTCATGGAGACCCACTCACAACCGTGCGGCACATTAGTTCTCTCTTCTCAAACATGGAGAGTTAGGAAGGATCAATATAAAAGCCCTTTTCAGCTCTTAGATCTTCAGTAAGAGTTTGAAGTATGAAACCATGGGTTCCAGTATGCATGAAAAATGCCCATTTTTCATTTTAGCAAGGAAAGCACCGGATTCGCTGACTGATGGTGACTCCTTTTTTGCAGTGCTGAAAAGTTTTCCTTTTGAGAAAAATGCTCTTGCTCGAACCCATTTTAAGAAAAGGCCTGGTTTATTGAAATAGCTCTTAGTTTCTGTGGTTCCCACTGCGCTGTCTCTGGCTATTCTCTAGGCGGTGCCAGGGGAGCGCCAGGAACTGAAGGGAAAAGAGTGGACACGCTAGCTGCAGAGCACCACGGTGCCGAAGAGGGACTTCACGCTGACCTCGGGAGAGGCCCACGGCGTGCCAGCAAATCTGTGCTCTTCGTCCTTAGAGAAACACATCTGCCTTCCTCGCGGAGGTAGGAGTCAGCACTCATAAGGCTGCTCTACCCTGACATCCTTCTCAAAGGCCAGGGAATGGCTGCAGCATTAGGTGCTGAGGTGAGCACCTTGTTTTTAGAGAGCAAGTAGGGTGGGAGAGGCCTTTCTGCACCGCTGCAGCCCTGGCCTGGCCTGGGCCTAGTGAAGGCTGCTTTCTGACTCCCCAGCTAGGTTCCTCTGAGCGGCAGCCTGGAATCCAGACTGGTGAGGCAGCTAGAAAACTGGGTAGAAACTGAGATAGGAACACAGGAGAAGAATGGGTCGATGTTTGGAAGAGAAATCAGCAATTGATTTTTGCTTTGGATTGCCTTCCAGAAAGAGCAAATGCCAAATCACTTTTAAAGCGTATGAACGATGACATAGATGCCACACTGCCCCTCCTCCAAGTAATTTCAATGACTTTCTCTTTGGGATAGTGGGGAATGGCTAGGGGTAGAGAACTTCACCTTCAGAGGTCAGTGGGGTGGGGAACGCCTTTGAGGCTTCTGTTGTAGGATTTGCATTTATTAATCACTTATTTCAGTTGACACACTGGAAAAGATTCTGCATTGAGAATGAAATCCCTGCAGCCCCTTTTAAAAACTGATCAGGATTATGCATTTATTGCAAAACACCCCCCTTCTAGCTACCTAACAGGTTTTTGGACATAGGAAGAAAACTCATACAACAGCACAAGTAGCCGCTATTTTGCAAAACGGCAGCCACAAGTCAGTCAGCCCAGGATAGATGAGCACAGCCTCCTAAGAGCAGATGTGTTTCTCATAGTAGGTACATCCCAGCCCCTCTTAGGACTGAAAGGGAACAGTCAGCTACAGCGAGGAGGTGGGGTGGAAAGCACCACAGTGTTTTACAGGCTTGAACAATGGGGAATTGTTACATAAAAGTGATTGGTGAAAACTACAGGCAAAACTGGAGAGAAGTGGATCTATGTGCTTATGACCATTTAAACGATATGGGAAGTGGCTCTGGAAGTAGAGTTTTTTTTTTTTTTTTTTTTCCTTTTTTTTGTGGATGCAGGTCAGATCCCTGCCCTACAGTCCTGGCAGTGGAGCAGCTGCCCCTTCCAGGGTGTGAACCACTCGGGGCCAGGCCACCCATCTGTGTCTCGCTGGGACTCAGTCATGTGTCTGCTATTAAATTTGGCACTCATATATATCATTTGCCCCATACAAACATTCTCCTAAGATGCATATTACTAACCCCAGGTCCCTCTTGAGAAGAACGTTATACCTGTTTAGAGACCTGGGGTGTAAATGGGTGGGTAGGTGAGTTTCCATAAATTAATTCAAAATATTTCCTGAGTGTGCACTACGTGGTAGACACTGTGATAGTTGGTACAAGGGGTTTACAGACACCCCTAAAAAATTTAGTAGCTGTGATCCCTCCACTATGTCATATAGCCTCTTATGCTTTAAAAAGTGAGGGGCGTCCTTGCTTAACAGGATACCCTTGCTGCCCCCCGCTCCTGCCCAGATAAACACAGGAAAATATTTGTTCTATCTCACTAATTAATGCTTAACTCTAATTAAAATAGTTCTTAGAAAAATCTTGAAAGGCACATTAATCAGAAAATTGTTTGAGAAGAGCAAACCAACGATACTGTAAGTAATAGCACTTGTCCAGAAGCTTCAACACCACTTCACCAGCATAAAGGCCAGGAAATGCCACACTGATTACGAGGTAGTGACAAAATACTAATGCCACAGGTAGAGTGAGATAGAATACATCTAAGTGCAATAATATTTTATGAATCACTGAAAACGGAGTGCCTTTTAACTGAAGCTTTATTTTTTCAAACCTCCATGCCCTATGTATTTACAGCATTACCTCACAGGCTGGTTTGTAGTTAGTGCAGAAGTAGGACAGATGAAAGGAAAACTTAGATTTCTTTTCCTTCTTGTGTCTTCCTTCAAAGGATTTTTATGTTTTGTAAAGAAATAACTTATCCTTGAACCACACAGGTTGGACCAGCTTGGCAAAGGCTCCAGGGCCTTTGCCCCACAGCACCAAGTGCTGCCCCTGCAGAGACCCACGTCTACATCCAACCTCTACAGATAGCGGCTTTCTTCAGACCAGGTACCTGGGGCCAGGTGGATGTTGTGGCTGTGGGCTGGGGCAGTAGCGAGGAAGCCATTCAGTTTTTTAACTCTCTGGGCTGGGCAGTCTGGCTAACGGTAAAAGCCATGCCGAGTAAATCCTTTAGAATTTTGGTTCATTTGTTAAAAGACACTTAGGAAATAAAATTACCTAACTGCATAATAGTGTTCTTATTATGGATCTTATTGAGCATTCTTAAGAGGATTGGATACACCCACAGTGGACATTAGTATGTATAATTACCCTTTGTGGTACATCTAGTTACTTTAAAAATTATATCTGCTATCAAGTTTCCAAACCAAAAGCCTACAAAACGCCAAACGGGAAAGATTTCCTTTCTGGTTCCATCTCAGAGAACACTAGTAGCTGTGTCTCAACCAATACGCTAGATGTGGACAGGTTTCCTCGGAAAGGCGTGACTACTAAATGGCTGGTCTTGCCAGCCAGTGTGAAGTTCATGCTATTGTGCTTTCATTTTGTTTGTTTGTTTTTTAATTAATTTATTTATATAAGCACTGGGTACAGGTCAGATGTGTGGGAGGGTGAGAGAATTCATGAGAGACAGAGCGGGGAACAGAACAGGCAGACTGACGAAGTACACTGCTGAGGGGAGCAGTGGGCGCAGCAGGAGAGGTCTGCGCGCCATGTGGGACCCTTGCTGGCAGCTGGGGATGGAACTGGCGCTGCAGAGGCTGTGGGCAGCTTCACAGCCCAGCGCTCAACCACAGCGCCACCAGGGGAGGCCCTGTGCTTTCATTTTGAAATCATCAGATTATTTGGGGCATGTGCTTCTATTGGCCATTTTTTTTTTTAATAATAAATTTTATTTTTATATTCCCCCATACAACTGCACATGCCCCATTCTGACCCCAATCCCTCCCCTCCCGGCCCCCACCCCCCAAAAAGTGTCTCTGGTTCATAGTTTTTTGTTGATTTTGATTTTCACTTTCTTATAGTTATTCATTTTCCTGGTCCCTTATTTAAGTTTTCTAGATTCCTGCTATGAGTGAGACCATCCGGTATTTTTCCTTTTCTTTCTGGCTTATTTCGCTGAGCATGATCCCTTCCAGCGCCATCCATGTTGCTGCAAATGGCATGTGTTTATCTTTTTTGATTGCTGAGTAATATTCCATGCTGTATATGTACCACATCTTCTTGATCCATTCATCTATTTTTGGGCATTTGGGTTGTTTCCAAAGCGTAGCTATTGTAAACAGTGCTGCTATAAACATAGGGGTGCAGGTGCTCTTTGGGATAGATGTTTCTGGGTCCTTTGGGTAAATACCTAGGAGTGGAATTGCTGGGTCATATGGAAGCTCTATGTTTAGTAGGTCCCGAAATCTCCACACAGCTCTCCATAGTGGTTGGATTAAAGAGCTTCTGCACAGCAAAAGAGACAATAACAAAAACAAAGAGAAACCCCACCAACTGGGAGAACATTTTTGCACCCAACACTAATGATAAAGGACTGATCACAAAAATCTGCAAAGAGCTGATGAGACTCAGCAACAACAAAGAAAAGAATCCAGTCAAAAAATGGGCAGAAGAGCTAAAAAGAAACTTCTCTGAAGAGGAAATGCGAATGGCCAACAGACATATGAAAAAATGTTCAACATCACTTGTCATCAGGGAAATGCAAATCAAAACTACCATGAGATACCATCTTACACCAGTGAGAATGGCACGTATTAAAAAAACTAGCAACAACAAATGTTGGCGAGGGTGTGGAGAAAAAGAAACTCTCCTGCACTGTTGGTGGGAATATTGACCATTTTTGAATTGCAGAGTCCTGTCCGTGTGTAGGGTGAGAGAATACGCGTCCTCGTGCTACTGCACAGTGTCTTCTCCTTTCACACAGGGTATTTTATAGGGCTCATGTCATCTTGCAAAGACATGATTCATTTGCTGAATGAGTACTCTATTAATATCCCTGGGGGGAGGAGGGTCATATGCCATTGGAAGTAGAAGTCTGGGAACCCCTCAAAGCCTTCAAAGGCCGTATACTCTAACCATGTAGCTGTGGTGTGATGGAGATTTCTCTATCTCAGTCCTTGCCATCTGGTACAGGTGATCAGACACAGCTAGAGGTCATTAGTAAAGAAAGGGAGGTTTTGAGGTTAAAAGGGAGGTGAAAGGGTCAACAAAGTGTTTGTGATTGTGTCTTCGTCATTTAGTGTCGAAGAGATTTACATGCAAGTAAGTGAGCCCAATTGTATCTGAATGTATTTTTTGCCTGCTATCTTAAGCATGGCTTTAATTCCCTGAAAATTGTATCTATGAACAATGATGAGGATTGCACCAGAGACTATGAAGGGTTGTTTTGAAGTGGCTGAACTACCCCAGCAGGCTGAGGGTGAGATACAAAAAACATCTACCCCAGTTGGGGTAAGCCGTGCACTCCACCTGATATGCGTGCACATGCCTTTCTAACTTCCCTCCATTTTGCATGTACTTTTCTGTAATATTTAGAAATGGGCACAAGTTGAAAGGAAATTATGCAGAGGAGGAGACGCTCAGTGATGGTAAGTCCATGTGGGCCCCCTGTCGTGTCTACCTCAGGTAAGGCCTGGCCATTGGAATTCATTTCTTATTACAGAAGTACTATCCTTAGAAATGAATAAGTCCATTAAACTGACTGAGCTCTCAGGACATACTTCATGTTACTTTCACACATACAATCAAAAGTGGGCAAAGACAGAACAGGAACTCTGCGGGAAATCTCTTATTCTACTATGGATAACCCAACCTACGGGGTTACCCCAATTGGATTTCACTTTGGAGAGTGGTCATATATAGCAAGATGCCTCTGCTATCAAGTAATTTTTAGTTATTTTTGACTTTGTTATTTTGGTGTCTCAAGTGGCTCTGCAGAGAGGCTGAAGCTGCGCTAGCGAGATAAAAACCATTTTCTTCCAACATGGCTTTCCCTTTTCCAGCAAGTTACCTCTCTGTGTCTTGGTGTGCAGATTTTTAAGATGGACATGATAGCACTTCCCTCAGAGTTGTACAGATAAAACAGGAATGTGCACATGGTGTGTTTAGAGCAGCAGCAGGCACAGAAAGTGAGACAGTCATTGAGTGTTGCTCCTAACGAGGGGGCACCCCATCTGGAGGCTGTTCCACTTTCTAGGTCTGACCCCTTCTTACCATGAACACAGTCTGTGTCTACCCTAATGCTGGGGTCTAAAAAGCTAGTGGCTGTTACTTGGTACAGTGACTGGCTTACAGAAGATCAGGAATAATGGTTTTGGAGGCACCGTCCATAAAACTGCTAGTTACACTGCCCATGTGTTCTTTTTCCATTCCATCTAAGAGGACTGTCTTCTGGGCTGCTCAGCATGCCTTTTTATTTAGGTTTATATGGTCTGTTCTGGCCCCTAAGTCATACCACGGCTGCCCAATTATTTTGTCAGTGTCTGGGTAAGTCAGGAATGGTCTGTTCTCAAAATTGAGTTCATTGGGCCTCCCTGGAGGCACAGCGGGTTGGGCGCAGTGCTGTGAAGCTGTCCACGGCTACTCTGCAGCACGGGTTCAATTCCTGGCTGGCCAGGGAGATACCCACATGGCATGGCAGACCTCTCCTGCCTCTCCCGCTGCTCCCCTCAGCAGTGTCTTCGGTCCGTCAGCCTGTTCTGCTCCCCGCTCTGTGTCTGGTGAATCCTCTCACCCCCACACCTCTGACCGGTACCCCAGTTCTTGTATAAAATTGAGTTCATTCCATTAGCACTCGGGCTTCAACCCCCGTCATCTCTGCATTAGAAGTTACAGTGGAAACCATCGTGCCCAAGTGGAGAACCACATCACACTGCTCCTCTTGAGGGGGGTGGAGAAGACTTACTCTCTTCGTCAGCTGAGTGTCCATCATGAAGTTGTGCACATGCTTTTCTGCTTTGGTAAGTTCTAGCTTCCTTGCCACTACGGCGACCACCAGGGCTGTGCACCCAGCACCCTGAAAAGCAGGAGAGAACCCCAAAGAGTTAATGCTTTTTATTTGTTTTGAAGCGGGGAGACAGGGCAGGAAGGCCAGGGGGTGAGACTGGAAGAAGGTTTGGAGTCTGGATGATGACTCGGGAGGTGGGGGCGGGAATAGAAATGACACACAGAGCTGGGTCACTGAAAACAGAAACAAAAATGACAAACCCTTAGCTAGACTAAGAAATAAAAGAGAGAAGAGTCAAAATCAGCAATTAAAGAGGAGACAGTAGCCTTTGTATTCCTAGTGTCAGGTATAATGAGACAAGCTTTGAACAATCATATAGCAACAAGCTGCGTAATCTGGAAGAAACTGACAGACTCCTAGAAACAGATAATAGACCAGGCCTGAATCCTGAATATATCGAGACTAGAAAGGAGATGGAATCAGGAATCAACAATGTCCCAACAAAGAAAATCCCAAGACTAGGTGGCTTCACGCTAATGGATTAACACCTCTAACAAAAAAACAGTGAGAGGCAACACTGCCGGACTCATTCGACGAAGTCAGCATTGTAGCAACACCAAAGCCAGAAAGGACATGGCAAGGGAAGAAAATTACAGGTCACTGTACCTGCTGAACAGGAATAGCAAAACCTCCCCCTTCAAAAGAACATTTATGTAAGGGCAGTGAACATTCAGGAGACTTGTTCTCTAATATGGGCTGTGATGTGGTAAGAAGGAGGGAGCTTTTGGCCCTCCCCCAAATCAGAACAGCATAGTAACTTGGGGTACTTACAGCAGATCATCTTTATGAAGACAAAGAAGGAAACTGGAGATAGAGCAAGCCCACACATAAAGTGCCAGGGAGGAAATGACAGAACCAAGCTAGACGTCAAAGACTTCCTAGATGAAAGTGCTTTTTTGTGGTGAATTTGGTAAAGCAAATTTTAAACACTTTCTAAGAAAAATCTTGAACCGTGGTTACTAACTGCCTATCTCAGCTGTGACGGGGACTATGTAGGAGGTTTGGACCTCTAGGGACGTCAACTAGCTGATCCAAATTTTAATAAGCCACATTTATATATATAAAATGTTGCTGTATTTCAGTGGCCAGAGACCAAGACAATGTTAAGAAACTGGGCTTGATCCTGGGCAGTGGGGAAACAGCTAATGTTGAGTTGTGCCTCTGTCAGAGGAGGCAGCCTGCCACGGGCCCTTAGTCTCTGCACATTCCTGCCCAGCGTGCACTCTTCCAGGGCTGCTTCTGCTGCAGCAGCAGCTCATAAGAGTCCCCAGCTGGGGTGCAAACCCACTGTGTGCAGAGCCCTCACCTTGGGCTCCTCTGCCATTGGCTGCATAGGCCTTGGGGCAAGAGAGACTTGAAGCACGCACCACACACGCACCACACACGCACCACACACGCACCACACACGCACCACACACGCACCACACACGCACCACACACGCACCACACACGCACCACACACGCACCACACACGCACCACACACGCACCACACACGCACCACACACGCACCACACACGCACCACACACGCACCACACACGCACCACACACGCACCACACACGCACCACACACGCACCACACACGCACCACACACGCACCACACACGCACCACACACGCACCCACCGGAGGGAGCGAGCAGGCAGAGGGAGAGCCTGCTACACTCGATGAGGGTCAGCTCCTGGCTGGGGATCAAACTCAGGCCGTGGTGGTGATAGCGCTGAAGCTTAACCCCTAGGCCATCCGGGAAGCTCCTAACTGCGGCATCAGGAATACCTCTTCAGGAGCTGCAGCTAGACCCTGCCGTGAATAAGGCTCACCAGGGGCTGCAGACAGCCTCGCCAGGGCCAGATGCACCGAATCAGCTAAACTAAGGTAAAGCATCTCACTAACCCTTTCTAAATAACCCGCAAGTTAGGAGTAATGTAAATCACAAACAGGGGTGCATCACACTTCCAATGACTCCATGTAGGCTTAGCTTGGGAAATTCAACTGCTAGTCCCACAAATTCCTTTTGAATGAATCTGAGATACCGCGGCTTTTATGAAATGAAGTTTCTTTGTATACAAAAATGAGTAAGGGTGTAGACAACAAAGAGAACATGGGCCCCATGAACTCTGCTGCAGAATCACTGACGCCTTGGAGATAGAGGTGGCGTGGTAACATACATTGCAGGAGGTGTGAACCTAGAACCCTAAAACATACACAAGGATACCTCAAAATATTTAATATAACACACACACACACACACACACACACTCATGTCACTTGCTGTGCTGAGAGCCATAATCTTTGGTCTGACCTAAGCACCTTCTGTCTTCTGGTAGCTTCTGAATAACGTGTCATCTAATCCTAGACTTGACAGCACTTAAGGTGTAACTGAACAGTGTTCCCAACACTGCACGCTTCTGCAAAGAGTACGTTACTCCCTAGTTAGAAAAGATCCTTTCGTTTCTCCTTCAGTAGCACCTAGTACAACAGAAAACAACGCATGTTCAGTCTTCCTTAAAAGTCTGAGCGTTCATCTGTTACTACCAAGAACTTCTACATTCATTCTTTTCCTAAAGCAAAGTTGCTTTACGAAGGAAGGAAGGCACCTACCTGCCTGCTCCAGTGCCGGGGACTGGGGGCTGCAAGGCCAGCAACCAAATGCCCTTCCCCACACAACACCCCCAGGTAGGCACACACTGGCGGGCACCCCTGCTCACGTGCAGTGAGACCCCCCCCTACCTTGGGTGTGCCGCCCCAGAGGCCCACCACACCAGACTCCCCGGTCAGGAGGCCCCTGAGGTGGCAGCGCATCTGTAGGGAGGCGTCGCACCCCTGCCCTAAAGGAGAGACACCTTTCCTGTACCAACCAGTGTCCAGAGGCTTGTTGGCAACTTTAGGGTGATGCTGAGTGTCCCCTCTAGCCTGGACGGCTGGGAGTCTCTCTGGTGGGATGAAGGAGAAAATGCAAGATGGGGAGCAGACAAGGGGACCCTGGTGGCCACCTAGGGAGCAGCGCCTGGGGCTGCAGGTCCGGGAAGAGGCGCTGCACGGAGCCTCCTGCTCCCCACAGGGACCAGACCTGCGCCCCGCAGTAACCCTCAGGGAAGCGCGTAGCTGGGAAGCAACACGATTACACCTATGGAGTTCTCAGAATGTCGGGAGGCCAGCATGGGATGTAAGCGGCGTGCTGCATCTGCGCAGACATGTCAGAATGGCAGACCCGCGAGGGACCGCGCACCATGACAGGAACATGCAGCCGATACGTTGGCTAAAGTATGCCCAGAAAGGAAGGACTAGTGTCAAAATAAGGGGGTGGGGGTACAATTGTATGGGGAATATAACCAAAATGATAATGCATACATTGTGCAAAGATGAAAAAAGATGTAAGAATTATATAAAATACTTAAAAAAATAAAAAATCTAAATGGGGGGGAAAAAAAGAGTAACACCCCAGAACCTTCTCCCACACTCTATCCTGCAGGTCTTCAGGCCCCTCGAATGGGATGCACCAGCCATGAGCATGCACACACACACCATCTACTCACACGCTCAGCCTCAGAGTGTTCCAGATGCCGGTGGAAATGGTCAGAGGGCCCCAACCCTGCACCAAGGACTCAGTGCTGAAGGGCAGGAGATGACCCTACCCTGCTGGAGCTCTACGGCCACGCTGTGCAGCCGTGTGACCCTGCGTGGGGCCTGCTGAGGGGCCAGACCAGTGATGACACGGAGGCTGAGGAGTTCGCCTGCCCCAAGTTCGGCCCACCCACGCAGAACCTTGCATGTGATGGTCCATGTCACACACATCTCCCCCCGAGGCATGCCGTCCTGGGCAGTGCACCCCATCATCAGTGTGTGATTATCTGTATTGAACATGGACTTCTAAAGTATTTAAAGAGGCAAATATTCTACTTACATTTCTTAAAAACAGGATCCAAACTGGGGAATGGAAAGAAATACTTTTTAAAGCCAACTGTGGAAAAAAAAGTTAACAATTTGTGCTTTAAGAAAAACACCTAACCTTTCTTACCATTTTTGACCTTAAAAATTCAAGCTAGGAAAAGGCTTTTCTATGTGTGCCATACTTTGCTCCGTTATAGACTTAATGGGTGAATCATGTTTATTTGAATTAATAAATGATTTAGCCATGCAATGATGGCCCAACGAATGAATTTTGGGGTCCCCAAGTAAATTCCACCTTCTGCCAGGTTTATGGCTGCAAGAGTAAGGAGAAAATATATACACTGGCCCCATCTTGCTACCGCTGGCTCTGTGCTTGTAATGACCATCCTGTGTAGTTGCACTGTAATGCTGCAGGAGCGCCTCCATACCCGCGCCCACACCTGGGCCCTCAGGGAAGTTGATCTGTGGAAAAGGCTAGGCAACCTTTACATGTCCTCTGGACTGACCCTCTCACTCTGGATGTGACACGACCAAACCAAGTCAGGTGATCTCTGTCATGCCCTTGACCAGCACGGATGTGCAGGCCTCAATCCACACGCCTGCTTCCTTCCATGACAGGCTTGGGAACGCACTGTATTTCACAGTAAAACAAGAAATTCAAATTAATCTCATTTTAGATCCTAACTCTTAAGCTATGAAAAGCTTAAAAATGTTACTGTTTCTTAGTTGATAAGGTCCAGCTTTCAAGTGAGCAGGTCTCAACCCTGATGTCAGTTCAATCACTTGAAGAGTTTGCAAAAATTCTCATGCCGAGAGATAGTGTGCCCGGATAATTAAATCCTTGTTTCTGAGAATAAAACACAGGTCTCAGAGTTTTTAAAAACTCCCCATGTGTTGCCAAGCTAGATGCTCTGCTTGGGACGCAGAAGGCTATTCAGGTGATATGGAGAGCTCCACACAAGTCTACTTTACACAGCAATTGAGCGGTTCCTAGCAGTCACTGTACTTACCGGTGCAGACATTCAGGAAATGAGAAACAAGGATTACCTAGGGAGAGGGCAGAGTCCGGGCCCAGAAATGTCTGGGCAAAGGAAGGATGGTGATTCCAAAGCTCCCCATGGTGTGCGGGCAGTGGCCACTCGCGGCACGTACACCCATTTTGTTGACTTTCAGGCATCTGCCAGAAAATCTAAATTGGTATTCTATGCTGATGCAGGAGTGAGCTGAATCAGTGGCCACTCACCATGGCCATCTGCACCTAGAAGTCCTGCCTGGCTAGCATTTGCTTGACATACAGGTCACCTGTTGCCTAGATGCACCCAGGTACTCCTCAATCTGTGACTTATGGACGATTCAAGGCCCGCAATGGTTCTTTAAAAAGGAGAGAATGTGAAAGCTGAGGGGCTTCTTTACTGCTAGACAGAGCACTATAAGTGGCACTTGGCACAGTAAGTTGCATATTGTTCTCTCCTGGAGGGTGGCCTCTGCCAAGATCCCTCTGGAAAGAACTCAAAATCCTAACAGCAGTGGAAAATCACCAGTATCGAGAGCCTTTGAAAGTTGAATTTTGTGTTTATTCTGGGGCTCGCTCTCTTCCCGCTGCTGTCCAATTCTTGCTGAAAGTTTTATGCATTAAAACGAACACCTTTATTGCAAACTGGAGAAGCAGGTTAATCTGACAATTTAGTCACTATCAAAGCTATTACCTATATGCTCCTCACTCCACTGTCCCAAATATACCCTTTAAATTGTACCTTAAACAAATCTTTTTGTAAAAATACAAAAGGTCCTTTACTTCCTCTCCATAGGTTTTATTTTAAATCAGGGAAGTCACGAACTTTTAGTTCCCCAGATTCTTCCTAAATTTGATATGTATAGAATCTGCTTTCAAAAAGATAACTTATTCTTTCTACTTTTTAGAATTATGCAAATGAAGCTGGCTTACCTCCGAAACCCTTTGAGGTTCACAATGTGCTTATGCCTATAATAATTTAAATAATGACAGGATGTTACTGTCCAATCAATGTCTATTTCCAGGAGCATTCTGTTTCACAAAGTAAGAATGAATGAGAGCAAATGCTTTTACAACATTTCCCCCAAAGCTTGCCATCATCACAATGGCTGCAGAGACAGTTGGGACTCACATATGTTACTCTTTGGAATTCAGGTGCCTGTGTGCCTTTAATAAGCTCACTCACGGTTCTTTCATCAAAATCAGAAAATGTGTCCTGGTTGCTTTTCTCCCACTTTGTTATGTAATTAGGGAAAACCCCAGCAGATAACCGACTGCCCCTTAAGATGCTCAGGCAGCTCAAAAGTAAATGAAGAAATAAAATCGACATGTGAAAAATGCCAGTTTGTCCTCTTTCATTCAAATAAAATATATCGGGCAAGAGGGGTCTCATCCCACCATCCTATGCCAGACCAAAGGGAACAAATGATGCAAGAAAATGCTTTACTTTCTAGGGACTGGTGTGGGGAAAATACAAATTCAGGTACCTCCAAGATCAAGATCATTTATCCTGCAAATCCTTTCCAGAATCATTTTTGCAAGAGCACTTTGGGGTCAAATAGACCTCCAGCTAAAAGAAGATAGCAAGGGACAAAGACGGACATTCTGTGTATAGCTATAGATACACACAGAGACCTCCAACACAGGAATCCCAGCATAGACCAAATACTAACAGATCGAAAGGGATACAGTGACAGCAATGCAAGGATTGTATTGGACACTGACATTCCACTTACAGCAATGGATAAATCATCCAGACAGAAAATTGACAAGCAAACAATGGACTTAAATGACACATTAGATGAGACAGGCTAAACAAAGTAGAAAGAAGAAAAAGAAAAATAGAAGGTACACTGGATCTTTAGAGAATATTATAAACAACTGTTGGCAATAAATGGCACAACCTGGGCTGTAGCAATGAAACATGAGTAAGAAATTAAAGCGATAATCAAAAACATCCCCAAAACAAAGTTCTTAAGTTCTGAATTCTACCACCTATGCACAGTTAAGACCTAGCCTCAGACTCTTCCAAACAGGTTTTATGGAGAGAACTTTACCCTAACACCAAAACAAGACCAAAAAAATAAAAAAAAAAAATCACAAAGTTAAATATCTCTGGTGAACATAGATACAAAAATCATGATCATTGGAATAGATACAGGAAAATCATTGTATTTACAGTGATTTAGCACCCTGTTGATGATTAAAATCCCTCAACAAATGAGTCTACAAAGAATACCTTTCTGTAAATGACAGACTCACAGCCAACATCACACAACTGGTGGAAAAATGAAAGCTTTTTCTTTCAGATCAGGAACACGACAAGATGACCACTCTCACGGCTGTTACGCAATATAGTGCAGGGAGTCCCAGCCAGAACACACTTCTTATTCTTCCTTTTGATCTGAGAACCTTTCAGATGATCAGAGATTTTCAAATAAGAAATCTCACTACTGGTATTCAGTATAGTGTTGGGAGTCCTATCAAGAACACTTCGATTAGAAAAGGATATAAAAGGTATTCGAATTAAGAGGGGAAAAAAGTAAAATTATCACTATTTTCAGCTGACATCATAGACACAGAAAATCCCAAAGAGAACAGGAAAAATGGTTATTAGATCTAATAAACTGATAGGATACAAAATACACAAAGACCTACAGGGTTCCTATCAGCAAGTAATGAACTTGTAGGAAAAACAATCCCATTTACAATTGCATCAGAAAGAATTACATACTTGGGAATAATTTTAACCAAAGAAATGCTCCAAGTATTGGAAGAATTAACATTGTTAAATGGCCAACTTAACCATAGGGACAGGCAAGCTCAGTGCAAGGAGTATCAGGAATCCTATGGCATGAAAACAGTTGCATGGCAGGCTAGGAAATAAACAAATTATGTCATTTCCATATGCATATAATGGGCTAGTGAAAGAGAAGATAAGGAAAACAATCCCATTTGTCACCACCTAAAAATAATTTTTTTTAAGATTATTTATTTATGCATACAAGAACTGGGGTACAGGCTAGAGGTGCGGGGAGTGAGAGGATTCACCAGAGACAGAGTGGGGAGCAGAAGAGGCAGACTGACAGAAATATACTGCTAAGGGGAGCAGCAGGTGAAACAGCAGAGGTCTGTTACGCCATGTGGGTAGCTCCCTGGCTGGGGATCGAACTCGTGTTGCTGTGGCTGCAGATAGCTTCATAGGTTGCGTCTTAACCTAAAAATAATTTGATACCACATTGGAGCTCAAGTTCTATCTGGAGGGCACATCACTTCCAGAGAGCAAACCAAAAATCGCGGTACTAGAATTGAAAACACGCACAGGATTGGAACGGAACTGACAGCCCAGAAATAAACTCATACAGATAATCTATAGGCAAAGAGCTGACAGTATCCAGTGGAGCAAGGGAAGTCTCCTCAATGAATAATAGTGTTGGGGAAACTGTACAGCCAGATGGAAGGGAATGAAACCAGAGCGCCATACACAAAAATAAAATGAATGAAGGAGATGCATGCAAGACCTGAAGCCATAAGGCACAGAGAAGAAAACGGTACTATGTCCTAAACACCGGCCTTAAAGCTGCCTTTGGGGACTTCACTCTCATGATAAGGCTGACAAGAAATGCAACAAGAGGGCCTCCCCGGTGGCGCAGCGGTTGAGCGCTGGGTTGCAAAGCTGCCCGCAGCCTCTGCAGCGCCGGTTCGATCCCCGGCTGCTCCCAGGCCACCGGAGGAGGGTCCCACATGGCGCGCAGACCTCTCCTGCCGCCCGCTGCTCCCCTCAGCAGTGTACTTCGGTCCTTCTGCCTGCTCTGCTCCCCGCTCTGGCTCTGGTGAATTCTCTCACCCTCCCGCGCTTCTGACTGTACCCAGTGCTTATATAAATAAATAAATAATCTTAAAAAAAAAAAAAAAAGAAATGCAACAAGAAATGAGAGGAACCACATCAAACGAAAGGGCTTCTACGTGGTGAAAGGAATGATCATCAGAACGTACAGTCATCTTGGTCATAGTCCCCATACAATTCCCAGCCCCCCTTGTTTTGAAAATACACCCCTCTCCCCGCCTCTGTAGTGTGTCACTGATTTAAAGTTGCTTGTTGATTTTGATTTTTACTTTATTATAATTAGTCTTTTTCCTGGCCCCTTATTTAGGTTTTCTAAATTCCTGCTATGATAAAAAAATAAATAAAACTCTGAAAAATAAAAAAAAAGAAAAAGAAACATTAAATGCAATTAAAAAAAAAAAAAAACCAAC